TTCACTCAATGAATTCAAAAATTTGGCCATCTTCTGTAACTCTGGCTCCAAAGGATGCTGAGCTCGATATTCAAACCATTTAAATTTAATCATAGTTCCAAGTTTCTCGACTATGCGGTTTACTAACTCCGGTGAGTATAAATACTGTGGTTGGTTCAATGCTTGTACTGTGGCAACTACGTTCGTAATGCGAGTTGCAAACGATCCTATATTTCGGCAATCTTCTGCCAATCTTGGCATACGTCTTACATTCTCGATTTCGTCTAAAATGAGCATCTCAATCCTACCGAATCTTCTTTCGAGAGCGTTCATTATTTCTTCAGGTTCACACAAAGTAAACAACAACGACTTAACCGCTTCCTTAGCGGTACCCTTTAATGCCCTCCTAAGGCGTGCGACTTTCTGCACCCCTGAAAATTGGCTTATCGTGTCTTCAAACACCGTTTTGAAAACTATCCATTCACCCGGGTCTCCATCGAACACCGGTAATTCCTGGAGGAAATGAAGCTGGGAAGACTTATCTTTACCCGCTATCTTTATTGCACTCACAATCGCTTCGGTCAATTCTAACACCTCACTCGCGTGTGTTTTCTGTGCATTTCCTTGGTTGCGTTTGATCTCCGCCCCTTTGCGGCGTGATCCTTTACACGCTTCCTTATCAGTAATATCGGGTTGCGTTACACTAACCGGCGCGCTCATTGTCTGTTGAACCCAACTTCTTGGTCTGTTGAACCGACCTTGGTCTGTGTGCCCGATTACTGTCCTTGACGATGCCGCTTCTTCCTCGATCATTTGACCTACTTTTTCGACTACCGTTTCACTCCTGGATATAACGGATTGTTGTGCGGTGCTGGCCTGCGTACCACTGGTGTCCGTCCTGTTTCTTGTCGTTGCCATGGACGCCTCTGAGTCCCACGTGCATGTGGACGTATCGGTGGTGGCTCCACTTGAAGGAGTTGTTCCACTCGAAGCAGTAGCAGTGGTCGCTCCAGATGGTTCCGCCTCTTTAGCTTTTCTTGAGGGCCCTGTCCTTGTCTTGGCTTCTTCGCTCCTCCCTGTCTGGTCTTGTGCCTTCTTCATCTTGCAGAAAGGTGATTGTTGGCCTACATTCCCTAACTGTCACTACGGTCCCTACAACCCCTTACCTACAACCCTTCTACACCCCAACCTAACCCCACTACCCCTCCCCCCTTTATCTCCCAACCCTACAACCTTACTACCACCCTAACAGCCCTATCAGCCCTATCAATCCTGAACGGGGCCTACCGAGGTGAGCCGTCCAGGGATGGAGTCGTGCAGGAGTGGAATGGAGGAAAGGTTTAGGAACTGTCCCGCCAAGGAATATGACGAAACAGTCGAGCGGTAGTGCAAGCGCAGTCTCGCTCGAGAGAACTGCTCCACCCGAAGTTGTTGTGCCAGAGCCCGACCGTTTGGCACCGTTAGGTGGTTGGGATGTATGCTGCGCTTCGTCGTCCAGTCGCCGGTGACGCCTCGTCCAGGCGCCCTCTCCCGGTCGCGATGCAGTCAGGTGCCCACGAGCACCCTCGCCTGGCAGCAGCGGCGGTGGATGCTTCTTCTTCTTGCACCCTCTGATGACCCGACAGGAAATGCCGGGCACGGTCGTCCGACAGGAAATGCCGGACACGATCGTCCGACAGGAAAATGCCGAGCACGCTTGCCCGACAGGAAATTCCAAGCCCTGCTTGGCCACGAGGAGCGCCTTCACAAGGCACCTGTGCCTGGCTGCGATACGTGCCCCATGCGAGCACACGCCCCAAGCCGCAATCCCGGTTTTCTTTCTTCCGGTAGTTCCAGGTTCAGTCCTACTGCGCTGACCTGGTCTTATGGCCTTTGGTCCTGTTGCTTCAGCTCAAACCTCTGGCTTCCTTCGGTTGCTGATCTTCACTCGGCTCCGAAGGTCTTCTTTCTCCATAACCAGCAGTCCACAGCTGGTTCCTTGATCCGGCTCCGAAGGACCACTTGAAAAGGAACCAGACAAACGTTAACTAAGAAACAGAAGGAAGGAATCGAGGCTTCTCTCGATTCGGCCTCCTATAACGCCTACGTTGGGTTCGGGAACAACGTATGTGATCTCCGCAACGGAGTAACGCACAAGGGCGATAACCTCTTCCTTTTCAGAAAATAGGTTCAGGCGGGGATTACGGGTCTTCCGAAGTCGTCCCGGTCCCAACGCCTTAATTCTTCGATATGGACTGTATTATTTTGAGGGAAGAATTCCTTGGGAATAAAACAGCAATTATCTTCAAACCGTTCCGAGAGAGAGTAATTACTTTTTCCTATCACTTCCCTATACTTTTTCTTTCTTCTTCTTATTGACTGCTGGTCTTGCACTTTTTCCGAAGTTTCTCCGAACTTCCCCGCTTTCCGAAGGATTCGAACTTTCCCGAAGGATTCCCGAACTTTCCCGAAGGCCCGCTTTTCCGAGGTCGAAGATCCCGAAGGTCCCGAACTTTCCCGAAGGATTCCCGAACTTTCCCGAAGGATTACCGAACGAATTGCAAGAAAACTCGTTTACTGAGCTACTCCAGAGCTATACGCGAAAGTGAGCCGCGCCACTTGTGCGCTTGCGCAACTCAATTACATCAATTTGTACTATCATTCTCTCACGGTTTACACAATAACTTTATTTGTATAAGACATACATTTATACAATTTACTTATAAAGATAGCACAAAAAAATATCTATACTACGATATACATTACATTTTTATATCACAAGAAACCTTTTATTTATTTAACAAAATATGCTTATTTTACTCACATGTTCAAAGTTGGAATTTCCTAAATATTTAACATAGAAAGTTAAAACAATGTTTTCCACTTGAAATTATACATATCTTAACCAATACAATAGTTTAATTTACATTTTCTCTATACATTTCACTATTAAAACACTTTTAAATTTCTTATACAAAACTATCATTATTTCACTTATTCACAGGAATTTTCACATAAAATACACACAGAACACAGAATTCACTCTTTTACACGTACAATCAATCTGAAATGTTTTACAAGTAATTTTACATAAATTGCTGAAATTGCAAATATTTAAATTTCTACATATTTGGCCTCCTAAGTACGTGGCTAGCGTGCGTCTATGAACTCACACTATTTGAACAACTAACTTTGCACGGATATCGACTATCAGTAAAAATAGAAAGTTTAGTATACACTAATATCAACAATACTAGGTGAATAAATGATTCTACTCAATTCTCAAACGTTGGAAACTACCTCTAATCAGATTCTTATCAGTTATCATGTTTCTTATCAAATAATATAAATGAATGTTTTCATAATTCAATCATAGAAAATAGGCATTTGTTTTCATACAAAACATATCAAACTCATATAAGACAATACTTATGCAATTAATTTCCATTAATTCTACTTATGCACAGCGATCATCTCGACCGGGGAACAAATCCTGGTCTCTAACTTTATTTTAATAGTTCTTTAAATTAACATTATTGGAAAGATGATTTCAATCCGGTAACATAATTTATATCTTAAAAATTCCCTATATGAATTTATTAAGAGATATTACTAAGAAAACGACAAACTAGTCCGGCCTGGGAGTCGAACCCAAGACCTTCATATCATTAATTCGATATTTCTTTAAGATTCAACTAAGCGTTTTCTTGTAGGAATATTGTTGCTTGATAATTTGCTTTTTAGAAGCTATTCGTAATCGGTTAACTAATAAATTGAAATATTCTTATAGGCGCGTCGCCAACACATATTGTAATACGTGTTATATAAAATGTAGTGGCGGTGTAAAAATATCCACTATTTCATATCGTCCCTTTGGTGTCGTAAGACGCGACGGAAGAAAACAAATATGAAAATAGGCAGGGACTTCTTTCTCATGAAACTATAAAAAAAACTGCGGTTAACAATCCCCTTGTCAAAAGTGGCAAATATGGCGGTTATTCCCTTCATGAGTCAATCTAAGGGAAGGCCTATGCTCAGTAATGAAATCGAGATAATGTAATGGATGGATGATATATGATAATAAATATCATACCCATATTCCACAAATTTCCCAGACCTTTTATTATTTGAAGCACATTTTGTGTGTGGACTTTTGCGTGCCGATAAAAATGCCATAGATTATTGTCTTTGAAAAAAGGAGGCTTATTTCTCGAAGCCCGATACTATAAAAAATACGTCCGAAGAAGAAAGCCTGTGGTCATTTTACTTTAGGAAATAGAGTGAATGGGGTTCTTAATTCTATTGTGGGAATACAGAATGTATCAAAAAAGGAACGTATGACAGTTCACAATGCTTTGTTAGTCTCTTCCTTAATGTATGGTTGTGAAAGCTGAGGTTGGCAGAAGTACGAGAGTAGAATAAATGCTGTAGAAATGCAGTCATTAAGGAGAATGTTAGTGCTAAATCTGGATGACAGAGTGAGAAATTGTGTGATAACAGAAAAGTGTGGCTTGCAAGTTCATGTTGTAACCAGGGTTAAGAAAGAAATGCTTCGGTGGTTCGATCATGTAGAAAGAATGAACGAGGAAAGAGTGACAAAGCAAATATGTTTATTTTTGCAACACAACTAGAGACGAAAGTTTATCAATAAAATTTGCGATGGGTTGGGTTAAGACAACTCCTCACCCACTTAGGTATATGGATGTAAAGAAATCGAGAGAGATGTGTCAGGATCGTGCCAATTAGAAGTTCGTATTCTATTCTGGGTGATAGGCGTGAGTGTTAAAGACAAACCAGTTCTTGGACATATACAAACAACTTTAAACAAGGAAAACTGCAGATGCATTTTTACTCCTAATGAATAAAATTAAATACCATACAGCTACTTATTATAATACCTTTTAAACCGGACACAGCAATGCAAGCACTGTTATTTGGCAGCAGGAAAAGGTAAGAAGTTGGTTCCTACCCAAATGGACTCCTGGGCAAAAATGGAGTCCTAACACTTAATACCTTAATACTGATATTATTTATTTCATTACCTAAAGTTATGTTGTTCCATTAGTACGTAGAGCAACTGTGCGACCATTTTAGTCATAGCTGAGACACCTGCAGTGTACCCGAGGTCTGTCAGCATCTCCGGCTTGAATACTTTTGGACGCTCTAATATCTGTTGTCATAATTTTATTTTTATTTATTTATTTTAAAGTTATTAATAGTTTTTTAATAAATATAAAAAATAAGAAAACTGTTTATTCATTACTCTTGTATTTTTTTACTATTCTAAGCCAGCGACTATCGTCCCACCTGATGGTAAGTAGTGAGGCAGTGGAAGATAGAGAAGCGCACTGAGATAACAAAAGTCTTACCTAAAAGACACCAACTTTGTAACTAGATGAGATGTTGTAATTTAATGTTCCGCTGCTCTGTTACTATTATTCTACCGTAAATATCATTTATAACATACAAAGTTTTCTAATTATGTTTGGAACTAATTACACAAAGGTAACGTAACGATCGCATTGATAAAAGAGAAGGTGGTGTAGCAGTATACCTGCGAAGTGGTATTCCTTACAAAATTTTATCAGCCTCACTTTCACAATGTACTGGATCACTTGAATATATTTTTTAGAGATTGTTATTGGTGGAAATAAGGTTATGCTTGGTGCAATTTATTGTCCACCTAATTCCAATTATTTATGTGAATTTGAAGAAGCACTTCTTTCAGTTTGCTCTTATTATCAACATCATATTTTAATGGGTTTTAGATTATGCAGATGTTTGCTATGCTAATGCCTCTCAAGAACTTCTATACAAACTGGATAGACTTCTTAATAATTGTATACGCTTCATTTTCGGTTTACGTAAATACGACCACATCTCCTCTTATCGTTTTCAGCCTAAATGGCTACCTCTCCGCTATCGCAGATATTTCAGAATACTGTGCACATTATTTTCAGTTTTACGCGATTCGTTTGTCTCTGAATATCTGAAATGTAAATTTCAGAATCAGTGTGATTCTCATAATCGTTTTCTCCGTTCTGCGGAAAAGTCTAATCTCCATGTCCCCCTCTGTCACACTAGCTTCTTGTATAAATCTTTTACATCTCACGCGGTAAGATTGTGGAACGAGCTACCGAGCAGTGTACGTAGAGCCACGAGCAAGGCATCGTTCAAACGCTTGCTATGGAATCATTTTCTAGCGTTGCAGGAGTAGTTTGTCGATTAACATTTTTTATATTCTTAAAGTGTAACTGTTCCCTTTTCCATTTTTTTATTTCAAATATTTCATAGGTGTTTGAATCAGAAACAGCTATAATTAATTATGTATGTAATTATATATATATATATATAGCATATTAGGGCAGCATTAAACATATATATGTATATATATATATATATATATATATATATATCTTGTATGTATATCCATATAATAATATATATGTATAATTATGTTTATAACATGTAATGTCTACTTAAAGATGTTTTAACTCAGTTGCACTTTGCGCCCACAATACCTTCTCTGCTTAACCTGGAGGTAGACTGGTAGAGAATGCCTTGTTGCATTAAGTCCGCCTTTTTGTACTCGGTGTGCAAATAAAGCATAAATAAATGAACAAACACTCACCACCGAAACTGCTCTTAAAGTCAGATTGTGGAAATTCCATCGATCATAATACTTAAACCTATTCAGCAACATCCTCATACCTGTAGTAGTAGAAATAAAATTTTCTTATTCAATAAAGATTATAAATATTACTTATTGAAATTCACCCTTAAGTTTAAATTACTACTTGTTCGGAAAATACTTCTGTCCTGGGAAGAAGTGACAAAAAACCCAGAGGGACTTAAAAAAAAGAACAACTAACTGTCACTAAAGTCAAGTATTCTTTTTTAAATTATAATCACAAAAGTAAACAATTTACCGTTTTGTTCATTCCATGTTCCCAAAAGCATTTGTTCTAGGTTGTTGCCTTGAATCCTCCCGTAGTTAAATGTATCAACCAATTCGTAATTATCACCTAAAAATATGCAATTTTAAATGTTTTCATACTTTGAGAACTTTTTGGAAACTATAGTATAGTGTAGTATAAAATTATAATAATATGGAGATGCTGAAATGTTAAATGAAAGGGATTGTAGATTAGAAGGTTTTGAAAATTAATTTCGTATATATTTTGTGACGTAGTTAGAATTCATTTCTCATATCGTCACAAGGATGTCGTTTTTTTTTTGTAGGAGGGGTCAAACCGGCATGCGGCTCACTTGACGGCTACTGCCAATGAACAACTGCAATACACGGTGCTTGCAGGTTTATAAAGTATCATCAGTGTTTTCGTCCGCATATCAATGAATGTTACAGGTTTGCAACATGTCATTCATATGCAGAAGCAACATCGTTGGCAACAGCACGCAGCCTTGTGAAACAACAGCGTTAATGGACTTGTATTCGGAGCATGCACTCTCTACTACGTACTTGATGCTCCGATCTGTAAGAAAACGAATGATCCAATTGCACAATTTCTCGGGAATCCCATAGAAAGGAAGATTTGAAAGAAGCGCTTTGTACCAAACGCGATGGAAAGCTTTATCTAAGTCCAAACTAACCGCCAAGAATTCTCTCTTGGACTCTACTGCTATTGCCCATAGTCAGAAAGACCAGAAGATTACCAGTTGATAGACCTCCATGAAAATCACCTATCTTCATGTGTACCTTATGAGATGGCAATTTATAATAGATGCCATTGTTTTAGAAAACAAAGATGTAATTGTGATATGCCTGTAGTTAAACGGGTATATTTGGTCGCATTTTTTTAGGGATCGGGTAGAACAAATATGTCTACCATGAATTTGGGACTACGTCTAGGGAGTAGTAATACCGGAAAAGGCGCGTTAAAACCAGTGCCAACTCCATGTCTTCAGAACAATAGGAGTGACTTCCTCAGGCTCACTAGGCTAGTTGATGTCCCGGGAGAGGAGTGCTTTGCGAGTAGTAAGGGGCAACTTTGACAAATTACAGAAATATTTATTATGTAGTTAGAGTAACTAATAAACACCTGATGGTGAATGGATGCTATAGCCCATAGACACCTATCATCGATTAAAAACTAAAATTTAAATCTGTTCATAGGGCTAAGAAGGAATGCTTCGTCACCAGTAAACAGAGTCTCCGATTTTCTGCAATAACAATGGGAAATACAACATTATTATGCTGCAATTTCACTCTGGTATTCTACGATAGTGTAATCCATCCCTGGTTAAGCTGGCCTATTCATCCGATACAGCTTCAGCGTGGCTACAACTTAAATCTTAAATCCAAACAATTAGTGGAAATAAATACTCGAAGTCACAAATGTGGGAGTTATTTTTGTTTCACTTACCTCTATAATACGCTAGTACAATATCTGAATTGATACTTAAATTCAGATGCTTGTGAACATTTTCTTCTTGTAGGTTCTCGCTTGTATTGCCTTTTAAGTTCTTAATTACCAACCATAAGTGCATAGCGTCAAATAAATTCTGTTTTGATGCCTAAATTGAGAGAAACGTATTATTTTTGACCGTATACTATACTACAAAAAAAATTAATCAAAGTAATTGATCGACGTGGTAAAGAACGATTCCCTCCCACGATAAATATTTCATGTCGATTTCTTTGTAAATTGAAATTTTGTTGATTTTCTAATAAAATGTGTCATCTGATTTCGACAAAGTTATTATAACTTCCCATCTCATAATATCTCAGGAGATACACTCTTTAAAAAAATCACAGAAGTCGTGCCAGGTGGTGGAGAATTATCGCTAATCATTCATAAAAAAATCCGACGAATGGAGAAGCTTCTCTTTTTATAAAGGCGGTTAAATGAGTTGAAACCTTTTTTAATAAGAAGTACGATCAAACTAAACGTGAATACTTATATATAAGGTATCTAACCTTTTTAAGTATGAGCGTTGCCTGCTTGCATGATGCACTTAGAAGTACTCCAATAGGAATATTTGAGTGTTTTAAAGTTTGATCCATTTCTTGACCATCATGCTTATCAATCATCATTACTGAAGTTCGTATTCCATAGGAAATTAATCGGTTAGCAATTATTTTATTATCTGTTACAAAATATAACCAGTATCAGTGTCTTTTATCGGGCTATACGTAAAAGGTTGTTTGTAGAAAATTTCTTTTAATTCTATTAGTATGTACTTTGAATTACCTTCTTGGCTGATTTCAAAAAGGCGGAAGTGCGCAAATGTACTTTCCCTTTTTTAAACGTATATTATGAGATGCTTTCGTCAATAGTAAACGGATTTTTATTATTTTATTATATATGTTATACTGTACTTACCTTATAATGGAGTTGTAAGAATATCCACTAGCCAATAACATCCCGTGGGTGTCGTGAAAGGCGACAGATTGAAACAAATCAGGAGATAGGTAGCAGCGTCTTCCTACTAAAGACTAAAAATATAAAACTGAGGATGTAAACCCACTTGCAAGGGGTGGCAACTATGGCAATCTATGGGGGAGGCCTATATTCATCAGTAGATTTTAAAAGGTGGTAACGATAACTACCGGGTTTGTTCCGCACAAATACAGAAATAAATCCTCCCCTAAGGGTAGAAAATAGGGGATAAAGTTCTTGATGTAACTATTTGGAAGACATTCCAGTACCTTGAGCTTGCTTATTGCACGCGAATGGGTCAAAAACTGAAATTTTGTACAAAATACAAAGAATAATTGTTTACACAAAATTGCTTCTGAATTCTGAAGTCTGAAGATTGTTATACGTGGTGGAGCCATGCTGCAGTTATATTAGTAGTATAGTTGTAGCAGGAATGGGTCGTCTCGACCAGGGAAGGACCACGCTCTCACAGAATACCAGCGTAAAATAGTAGCTTAATGCTGCTGTTTAACGTATAGTGAGTGTGGATAACCGGATGCCCTTTTTACTAGAAATGAGGCAGTCCATCTTAGTCCTCACGGATGACAACGCATTTGCATTTTGATTTGTAATCGAGGATAGATGTAGATGTCTATGGGCCACAGAAAACACTTACCATTAGGTGGACTGTGTGCTCGTTTGTCACCCTATCCTATAAAAAAAGTCGGGGTTTTATTCTCCTATAGTATGATCAATTACACTGGTATCAATTACAGTAGTCAATTATAGTAGTATTCTCATATACTATATACTTTATGTCTTCACTTAATAAAATATTATGAAATTATATATATTTTCAGAATCAATTATTTAATTATATTGATGTGAAATGCAGTTTCCTTATGCCGTCACGCCCCCTTTATGCCACCGCTCTTAATTCCCTTGTACTACGTACAGAAGTGCAATCTTTTGATGCTGACTGCTTGCCGACGTTTTAATATTCTACATAATTATTATTAATAAGATAAATCGCGCACGCAAGCTAAATAAAAATTTATCGCTGCGCACAAGTGTCTGTATTACTTTGCATCTTTTCCCCTTCTTACGTCACGGTGAATTTTCCATGGTTACTAAGGGTTGTCTTATGTTATTATAACTTAAAATATTTTAAATACAAAAGACAATTATAAGTAAGTAATTATGCACTTGGATAGTGAAGTAAATTTCAACTAAGTTTTGTAATAAAGTACTTAGGTATTACTTCTGTAGTTAATCTAACAAAAAAATTAAATAAATTCACCTTTCATTATTATTCGGTGACTTAAAAAATGATATATCTGAATCCCTTTATTTACTCATTAAGCATCCATCCAAGCAACAATTATAGTAGGAATGACGTTTTGCCATTATAATTTATCAAATTGATAGGTAATAATATTAATATATATTCTTAATATATATAAATTACGTGTCACGTTGTTTGTCCGCGATGAACTCCTAAACTACTTAACCGATTTTAATCAATTTTTTTTTGCGAATTTAAGGATTTTTACAACGTCTGCCTGGCGAGCTAGTATACATATATACTATGTTTAAATTACTGTAAAACTTTTTCTACTATTTTATCCAATAATTAAATATACTAAACACTAAACAAGAACTATTTCAACAAGTAATAACAAAAAAAAAACTATGTATACATAAACAGCGTTAAAAAACTTTATTAATCGCCTACAACTCGCTAGCCATGACTGCGTATGTGATCCGGGGCGTCTCGCGATTATTTCACGCATGCACCGAGAGTGACAGAGGCCGGACTTAGTTGACTCTTTGTCTGAGTTGCATACTACATGTGTCTTTCTTTCCAGCTATAGTGTACTAGACGCGGTCACCGTTTCATGCACATTCTGTATTTTTTTAAATACTTCTTTACTGTATTCCATATTTCTTTATTGTACCATTAACTATGATGTTTCACCTCTGCCTGGCGTCCAGTGAAGGCCACTTCATACTTCTTTGAAATCGGTTTTTACTTTTTAATAAAACTTTCAATATTAATATGAATGTTATGTAAGAAATATATAATAAAATACAGAACTGAGGTATAAGCGCTTGCTAACGTTTCATACAACGCGAATAAACCAACTTCGATCCCCATTGACTTCAATGAAATTGTTAATTAATAAAAGGCTAAGTTCAGCCAGTTAGCAATAAAACGCAGCGAGCGGTTTTTTAGCCGTTACTTTAATATCAAAATAATTGTCTTTTATTCATTCTACGTTAATAATTGCATGCCATTAAACCATGAATAACTATTTCTATTTTTTTTATCTTTCTGTCTATCTGTCTGAGTTAATCCTCGGGATGGCTGTACCAATTGTAATAAATGCTTATGAACAACTGGAGAGCAATACTAGGAGTGGTCTAGGTTATAAAGTTAAAAGTTTAAGTTACAGTCTTTATACGTCCCACTGCTGGTCACAGGCCTCCTCTCAATTCTTAGATGGTTTTAGAGCAAGGATATGTCTTCTGCGCTGCCCCAACGCGTGTTGGCGAACTTTACATGTCTTCGCGATATTCCTTTTTTTATTTTTAGACATGCAGGTTTCCTCACGATGTTTTCTTTCACCACTGAGCACCTCGTAAATTGGCAATTAAAATTGCAATTAACAATTTCATTGGTACCAGCGGGGATTGAATATTTGATATTGAGCATACCCGGGATGCTGTATTGAGTTTGTGTATTGTAAATGAGTGTAAAAATTTATAATAAACTTCCGGTAAGCATTAAAGAAGAGACAGAAACTGGTAAAATTAAAACCAAACTAAAAAGCTGGCTACTATTAAACTGCGTTTATGACGTAAAGCAATTTTTAAATGAATAGAATCTTGTTGCCTGAATTTGACATTATTGTATTCCTTTAGACTATTTTTTGTGTAATATGTAGATTTTATATATGTACTCTTTTGACATTCTAATTTTTACTTTTAATAGCGATTGACATGATGATTGTAATTTTAATTTTATTTGATTTAAATGAATAATGCATATTTAAATTCTTTGCTTGAAATAATGATTGTAGTTTTAACATTTTTAATTTATATTTATTTGTTTTAAATTAATCAATGTAGGTACATGACTATGTCTTTTCATTTAATTAATAATTTTCGCATGCCGGATGTGGTAAACATGTGGACTATATACAATATCCAATATATGTCATCTCTGATGTACCATGTTTAAGCGAATAAATGAAATTATTATTATTATGGGGGGTATAAATATAGTTTTCTCATCTGGATGGGTTCTATAAATATATAATTATAAATGAAAATGAAAAGATAAATATACATAAATATCAATAACATAAAATAAATATAAAAATGCATATGTAAATAAAAGCCCAACCAGATGCAGGCCCTCGGCAGGGGCCGATTATTATTATTATTATTTTGGGGTATCTATATAGTTTTCTCATCCGGTTGGGTTCTATAAATATATAATTATAAATGAAAATGAAAAGATAAATACATATAAATATCAATAACATAAAATAAATATAAAAATACATAAATAAATAAAAGCCCAACCAGATGGAGGCCCTCGGCAGGGGAGACCAAACGGCCGAGGGTTAGGGGGAAAGGAAAGAAACCGGCGGACGATGCGGGCGGTATCGAGGAGCACCGCCTTCTGCATTTGAGCCCGGAGCGGTCCGCCACGTAGTCCCAGTCGCCTCAGATGACCCGAGAGGCTGACTGGGATTAGCCCGTTTGCAGAGACGACTACAGGAATAATTTCGGTCGGCAGACCACCCCACATGTCGGTCACCTCGTGAGCCAGGTCCAGATATTTTGTTTGCGTGTCTGTTGGCGACGCGCCTATAAAAATGTTTCAGTTTATTAAATCAACCGATGACGTTGCTATGAAAAAAGGGGCAGTCACGAGCAACGACGCTCTGATAAGAGAATGCTTAGTTAAATCTTTAAGAAATGTCGAATTAATGATATGAAGGTCTTGGGTTCGACTCCCAGGCCGGACTAGTTTGTTTGTTTTCCTAAGTAATATCGCTTAATAAATTCGTAAGGAATTTAAGATATAAATTATGTTACCGGATTTGTTCCCCGGTTGAAATCATCTTTCAAATGATGTAAATTCATAAGAATATTAAAGTGAAGTTAAAGATCGGATTTGTTCCCCGGTCGAGATAATCACTCTGTGCATAGGCAGAATTAATGGATATTAATTGCATAAATGTTGTTTTGTATAAGTTTGATACGTTTTGAACGAAAACAAATGCCTATTTGTTATGATTGATTAATGAGAACATTCATTTATATTGTTATCTGATTAAAGATAGTTTCATACAGTTCGAAAATTGTATAAAAGCATTTAATTTGCCTAATATGGTCAAAATTGGTGTATTTCATAATTTAATTTTTTCTGATAGCCGAGAGCCGTGCAAAGTTAGTTGTTCACATAGCGTGAGTACACGGAAGCACGCTGGCCACGCCCTTAGGAGGCCGAATATGTAAAAATTTAAAATGTTTGTAATTCAGTGATTTATGTAAAAATTACTTGTAAAATATTTCAGGTTAATTGTACGTGCTAAAAAGGTAAATTCTGTGTTATTTTCATGTGAAAATTCCTGTGTATAAGTGAAATAATGATAGTTTT